ATAACCTTAGAATAATGTATTCTAAATGTTCCTAGTTAAATTTATTTCGGGTTTAAGGTTGAAGTAATATGATAATGACTAGCATATGTAGGGATTCATATAAAGATATCAAATCTGTATATGGGTACAAAATGAAGATTTTGTGTATCGAACATGACTCGTTATGAGAACACTTCATTGGATGTCATATGAGTGTCATAAGTGTTTTTCATATGGTCAATATACATGTAATTCTTTGACTCGAGAACATGGAGTTTGTTATGAGTGAGTAATGTATTTTGACATTTATTCTAATCATTCTGTAACTGGGTGACAGAATGATAGTTTGGATATGTTGTATATCACATGATAGAATTAACATGCATCAAGATAGGATTTGTCCCTCATTTATGATGGGAGTGATGTCTCTAAGTCCCTTGATAAATATACTAAAGAAATGCATGCATGCATAGATAATTGATATGAGATATCATTATCTATTTTTTATTAGTATATTAGGGAATCAAGAAACTAGATATTGGACATAACAAGAATGACACATTCATTCAATCTGAACATCAAGGACAAAAGAATTAAATGTGTGAACTAAAATTGACTACAAACCGATAATTTGTTGTATCACCAATTCTCGTTATTTTGGATAACGGTTATGTATTGCTAGATACCGCTCATCGTTTATAACTATAAATATGAGATTTATATTTATACCAACATGTCGAGAACCCATTGGGTCACACACTTTGAATATATTCGAATAAGGAGTTTCAATAATTAAAATGCTTAATTATCATATCTGCTTTGTATCGATTTAATCTGATTAAATAAAATCAGATATTATTTATGTTGGACATAAATAAAGATGACTAGGTATGGGGTTTGTAAGAGAGTAATGGTGTATGAAAATCTTACACTCAAACATGGTAGAGGCATGATGATTTGGTTAGGACATATCTCTCACATCCATATAGAATGTATGACATTTTATGCTAGTATTTTGTGGTCTTACAATTCTCTCTAAAAATCACCTACAACAATATACTCCCTTTTCTTTCTAAGTTTTGAAACCGTGACTAGCATCACGAAAAGGCAAAGGATTCGGATTGTTCGCGTGGATACCATGGAGGCGTCAAGCTTTGTTTGTTGTTGTAATTCAAAGTTTTGTTAATTGTGAGGTATAATTTCGAAACACCCGATTTATTTCGGTTCGTATGGGTCCTTGGAGGGTTACGGTTTTATTTTCTGTTGTGCTTGAGATCCCGTAACCCGACAGAATGATTGCAGGAGGAGATGGTTACAAGTTGCAGGTTGCAGGTGCACGGTTGTAGGAGGAGACGCCGTCTAGATTGTTGCAAGAGGAGATGGCGACGGATGGTTATAGGAGGAGAATGGAAGAGGGACTCATCGGTGGTGGTATTGTTCATCGGTGTGTGGTATTGTTTATCGGAAGTGTAGGTTTGTTTCATCGGTGGCGGGCGACGCACAAGGAAAATTGGACAAGCCCGCTCGACCTGTTAATGTTTTATAATTACTAGTGCTCGGCACCGGCGTTGCACAGTGATCATAACACATGTCAAGTAATATACATTGTGAACTACATCAATATCCTTATACTTCAAATTTGAAATACAAAATTTTCATAGTGCATTTGTAACCCTTCCAATATTTCAAGGCATCTCTTCTCGTTTCATATATTTAATTGTTAGTAAAAAAAATTCTCATTAATATGGATTAAGATTCAAGCCAAATTCAACCACAATTCATGATTTAAAAATATTAAATTCTAAATATCTTATTGCATTATATATTAATTTAATTAATTTATTTATTTAACTTTTAATATAGATTTTTTTTTGTAAAAAGAAGATTAGCCAAAAATCTAATATTAGGAGGGTCAGCCAAATAAATTAAACATTCTGAGTTTATAGAAACATTCAAGAGTCATCCCTATGAATTGCCAGAGACATCTCAATCTTCCTTTATATATCTATCATTTAGTGTCAATCTTTTATCTACCTACCAATATTGGATAGACAAAACTCAATCACAATTCAAGATTAAAGAATACTTAATCTTAGGGTGTCATATTGATGGTTGTGATTCTTACTTTTAAATATATAAAGAATAAAGATTATATATATATATATATATATATATAATTTTTAATATCGATAACCCTTCTTGAAAAAAGAGAGTTGGCCAAAATAAACCAACCCCATGTGTTCGGAGGGTCAGCCAAAATGCTCTAACCACGGGTGTTAAGAGAATCAACCAAGAGGAACCAACCTCATGAGTTGTCACAAAGGCATCTCGACCTCATATTACATTACTAACATTTTTGTCAATTTTTCAACTCTAAATCAGTGTGGGATATATAAACTCAATCACAATTCAAGATTGAAGAATATTCAATTATTATGGTGCCACATCTACGGTTCCGCTTCTTACTTTCAAAAACATATTAAAATTATCTCATCAATTAATATTTAGTATAGATTAATTTTTTTTCACAAAAAAGGATTGGCTAAAATGAGTCAACCGCATGTGTTTGGAAGTTCAGTCAAAATGATCCAACCACGTGAGTTTAGACAATTGCTCGAGAGAAGCCAGCCTCATGACTTGCCACAAAAGTATCTCAACATCTTGTTATATTCCCATCATTCATCGTCAATATTTCATCTATCTATCAATGTAGGTTAGACAAAATTCAATCACAATTCAAGAATGAAGAATACTCAATTTTTAGGGTGCCACACCAATACTTTTATATATAAAGAAGATTTATGATGGATATTGATATAAAAATATAACTATTACTCCAAACATTTAAAGATAAACATGACTTATATAGCCAAATGAACCTTTTAATTTTCAAATGGAACTCATATTTCTCTTATACTCATTTTTCTCATTGACATATCAATTTCTAATCAATGTGGATACCCAAAATCCAACCACAAAGCAAGAATTTTAAAATATTTAATTTTAATGATGTCACCTCATTATTTTCTAGCTTTCTTTTGTATTGATATATTAATTTTTCTATATAGACAACTTTTTTGCAAATAGAGGATTCGTCAAAATGAACAAACTCCATGAGTTTTGAGGGTTAGCCAACATTAACCAGTGATATGAGTTTATTGGATTAGCCAAGAGAACCCAACCCTGTGAGTTAAAATAAAGACACATCAACCTCCTCTTATATACCTACCATCAATTGTTGATCTTTCATCTCCCCATCAATGTGGGATACACAAACTTAATCTCAATGCAAGAAATATATAATACTCAATTCTTAGGGTGACACATCATTTCTTGTGAATCTTACTTCTATATAGAGAGATCCCTATTTATTTAAAGATTTTTTTTATGAAGTTGATTTTTTTGTAAACAAAGGGTTGGCTAAAATGAACCAACTCCATGAGTTTGGAGGGTTAGCCAACATGAACTAATGATATAAGTTTATATGATTAATCAAGAGAATCCAACCCATGAGTTAAAACAAGGACACATCAACTTCATCTCTTGCCAATCTTTCATCTCTTCATCAATGTGGGATACACAAAATTCAACCTCTATGCAAGAAATATAGACTACTCAATTCTTAGGGTGCTACATTATTTCTTGTGGATCTTACTTTTATATATAAAGAAGATTGATACACATACATACATATATATATATATATATGTATATATATTGATGATTGTAAACACAATTTATTTTTATATAATTATATTTGTTTTGCAAAAGAGAGTCATCCACATATGATAACTTCATGAGTTAAGCTTCTTGAGTTGACACAATAAATTTTCTCATTTTTTTTCTTATACACATCTCTTTATTCCAATCTTCATTTCATCAAAGTGGAATATTTCAAACTCAACTACAATTCACCAGCACCTCAATACTTAATTCTCATGATGCACCTAATTACCTCTTGGTTCTTATTTATATATATATATATATATATATCTTATTTGGATGATTCTATTATAAGATTTGATTTTTGCAAAAATAAGATCATCCAAATAAGATAACCTTATGACTCAAGCCTAATGAGTTGGCACAATATAAGATTTGTTTTAAAAAAAATAGAATCATCCAAATAAGATAACCTTATGATTAAACCCTCATGAGTTGAAACAATGACTCTCATCATTCTTTCTTATACACATCTTCTTATTCCAATCTTTCAATCTCTCACCAATGTGGGACATCCCAAACTCAACCACAATTCACTAACACCTCAATACTCAATTCTCATGATGTCACCTCATTACTCTTGGTTTTTTCTTTAATATATATATATATATATATATATATATATATATATAGCTTTATAAATGCAACTGAAAATATTGGATGCTTACAACCTCTCATTTAATTATGACTCATGATATACAAACTCTCCCGGAACCTAATAAATAATGACTTCAATTGATTAAATTTCTTATTATCCTAATTGGCCATTTCACTCATCGATGCTCCGTATTTTACAAAATCAGCTTTTTCATTGTTATTAATTACGTGTTATTTTTAACTTTAAAAACATGTTATGTATTTTAAATTATTTTACATAATATGTGATTTTATAGAAGCTTTGCTTTCTTATAAATGAAAAATATTTTTTAGACTCGTTAGCTCGTAAGCAAGCACGGTCCATTTATAGGGTGGATAAGCATAAGTTTACGAACCCATTTAAAGGGACTGAGTCTACAACATTTGACCTGTTAGACACAAAAATTAGGTTAATTAGGCCTGCAAATGAATAGCTCTAACATCACTATCACATCGATGGTGGAACCACGTATGTTACTTTTCTGTGCCTTCTTACAATCCGTTTGTTCCTCGTTTGATAGTTGGTTAATAGTACATTTTATGTTTTTGGTTTCATAAAGCTTTCACCTTTATTATTTGGGACCATATAACGCAACCCAACAAATTTATCATGAAAATAAAGACAAATGATGATAAGTTGTTGATATGAAAAGCAAATATCCAAATAATTTGATACAAGATAAAGATATAATCCAACTACTAGTCTTGATAACAAGATATTGAATTCTAACCATACATAATATTAGTTGAACTAAAAATCTTGCCACAATTTTAGGGCAAAAAACCTAAGCATTACACTATGCATCAAATGTCATACACAAGACAATTCAATCTGTCTATGATCCTTGAAACACCATTTTCTTGATCATAACTCTCTCCAATCTGTAAATTTACACATTCAGTAATGCACAACTAAGTGTAAATGTTTGTATGATATTTATCGATTTAATTATTATTAGTTAAATATACGTAGATTTGTTGCAAAATGATTATTATATACTTTAAACTACAACAGAAAAACATTGTAGCTAGTATGTATAACAGTTGTATTTGTAGCTTCTTTGCAAAATAATCGTTGGAAATTTGCATAAATTTACTCATTTCGACATACTTTAATTCCGTCTTTCTTTTGCATTTTGACCATACTTAGTTTGTAACGTTACAAACACAGTATTTAGAAAACTGATTTCACATTTAAAACGGTCCTTGATAATAGATTAGAAAAAATTGTATAAACTTTCTATGAATCAAAATAGTTGTTGTGCCATCTTTTCCACTTCTAATATCCCATTGACTAACAATGATAGCATAAAACTTGGAACAAATACTTTCCAAATGTGTACATGCATGTAACAACATTCAAACCCCATTATTTTTTGAAAAAAGAAAGATTTTATCCTTCTAATAGTAAATATTATAATTTTTTTTGTTTTTTTCTTCAAAAAATAATCTTTCTTATTTAATTGTAAAAGAAGTAAAAGGGTATACCTGAGCGTGGATGGTATGAAAGACTGTATCGTTAAGAATCGAGAAACTGGCATTGACGACATTGAAGCCTTCTTCATGAATTACACGTATTGTTTCAGTGAACAAGAACTTAAAATCGACCCCCGTGATTAGAATTGCTTCAAGAGATGAGCCGATTTCACGAACATCAATCTGAGGCGTTCTTTGTTGCCCCACCGACAAATTCGAGCTTTTTATTTCCTTTTCATCTCGAATGCTTTCCAGTTTCTTGATTCCCATCAAATTATCCTTTTCTTCATTCATTTTCTCCAGTTTTATTTGCAATTTCTTTATGTAATTTGCAGCTTCTTGTAGTTGATCTGGCAGTGATATCTCTTCCTGCGACATTAATTTACAAGAGCAAAGCTATCACTAACATGGGGATAACTAAACCTAGCAAAGAATTCCAAAACCTCAAGATTTTACCCTAAAGGCGGAAGATTTTTGCCTGAAATTTGAAGAAATAGTAACCCTAAAACCTGTTGATTAGCTCTACGAGAAATCTTGGGTAATTATTGGCTAAATATGATTTTCTTGAAATGTCAATGAGGATGGATCAGACTATATATAATTCATAAAACAAAATTTCAATTACTAAGTTGCCCAAGATAAGAACAAATTGGACATTTTATGTGCCAAATTCTTGGTACATGGAAATTGACCATTCGAGCTTGTTGATTTGCAAGATAACCACAAACTTTTGAGTTCCAATTACTCAATAACTCATCAAAGAAAATTGAACGACAAAAGATTTGTTCAGTGCATAATTTCTAAGCAGTTTGTGTGGTTCTTCAAGAACATTATTGACACAAAAAGATGGAGAAAGAGAGTAAAAACCCTAGAAGAATCATGAGGAACAAGAGAATGGAGTTGTGAGTAAAGAGCCTTCATGTGAATCCTTCTGTTTTTCTCAATGGTTCTTCTGTCAACCCTAGATGACGACGAACTACGATTGCATTCCATGATCACACCTCAATTGATCTCTTCACAAAATTATATATGGAATCTTAAGTGGTTTTATAGCTTCGATGCATTTCTCTTCACTCAAACTGGTCCTTTTATGGTGGTAGCAGACAAACAAGGTAGGGTGAAAACGATTTATTAAAGCAAAAACCCCCCATCCCCATGAATTACTTTTCCCCATTAAAGTAGCTTTTGTGGTATCCATCTTCATCAATTCGGACACTCGTACAGCTTAATCATACGAGTTTCTTGATTCGGTATTTGTAGACTGGAAGTCGTCGCGTACGTACTACGGCTCAATTGTATCACGAGTGTTAAAGTCTCATATCAACTAGACTTGGATTCGTCCTTCTCAAAATACGTTAGAATCTCTTTCGTCTTATTAACTGTCTTTTTTAGAGATCATTCTAGATTTTACATACATCAAATTTGATACAATAAACAATTTTTCTAAAAATACATTCCTTAAAACAACAACAATATGTTAAAAAGGAAAAAACAAATTCAGATCCCATGTCTATGGGGAGCGGATACCCGAAATAATGATGTCCAGCCACCAAAATTCTATTTCCCACTTGGTTAATTTGAAAACCCTTCTAGCCCTCCATGTTTTGGAAAATATCACTTTACATCCCTATAATTTGATCACTAACTAGTTAGCACTCTAACTTTGTTTAATTTTTCTATCTTATGAATTTTTTTACCAAATTAAACTTATCTGGTATATCCTATCCGTAGTTGGTCTAGACAGTTAGGATATGCGTACCTTACTGGTAAGAGGTTGTTCCTCAAAGACCCCTGACATCATGTATATGTAAGGAAGTGAAGGAATATTTCATCATTTTTTTTATTAACCTAGATATCTAACTCACTATGCGAGCCGACTAATCCCAGGGATAGCCCGGAGTCACCGCATTTGAACCTCTGTGGTCACAAGAGAATTTTTATTCCTCCTTGGATTTGAACTTGGGACCTCCTGGTACTTTTGACATTTAGAGCCAAACTCAAACCAATCAAGCACCACCCTTGTTTATGTGTCTTCACTTAATAAGCCTCTTAGTGGGATAATTATCTGTTGCTTGTTGGCATGTACCGCATTAAACATGTTTAATGTTCATTTGTAATGAAGTATGATAAACTCGCTCTACCGTAAATTCCCCCTGTTCAAGATTTTAGGCAAACAAACCCAATGGTCTTGTCGAGACCGGATAACCAGACGTTCACTATGCTTTCTTCCTATGCTACTGATATATCTTTCATTAATTAGACTTATTTTCAAAAATATATCTCGCAAACATCTCTTGTAATATATCATTTTAGTCATCTATGCGGATGAGCACTTTTCACTCATCCGTTCTTTAAAAATAGAAAAAGTGATAAGCGGATTTTATTTTGTCAAGCATATAGCGAACGGAGGTCAACATATATCATCGAAGTCCAACCCTTTCAAGTGTAAGGGGTCAAATGTAATTTACTATTAGTTTTTGCCTGATGAAAAATATATTGGGTTTCCATTGGTTCACTCACCCCTTTTCGTTTCTAATCATAATTACTAAAATACCCTTCATGTTTGATACACTTGGTTGACGACGTTTCACACACTGTAGCACTTTCTTGTGTGTGAAAAGAAACCAATGAAGAAAGAAGAAAAAGTTTGTATTGAATTAATTCATGCATGCCTTTCAAGGCTCCACACTAGTTGGTAGTTATTTTCACACTTCTATTTTCCAATAAAATATTATGTTTAATTATTATAGAATAAAACAAAAAAAATTAAACAGATCCAGTATTCCTTATTTCCAAATAGGAATTACTGGCGACGTATATAAAATCCATCATATACTCTACAGAATATAACGATGTTTTCGTAAAAACATCTGATTTAAGAAAAAAGTGTTTATAAAATAATTTTATTAAAAAATTGACTGTCTCAGAATAATATCAAAAAAGTTTGAGTAAAAAACTATTTTATGACATATGTATATATATATATATATATAATCTTAATAACTTTCGTTCTAAAATTATGGACTACAACTACACGTTTGTCATTGAAAATTTCATGTGATTAAATTCTGCATTAAAATTAAATGCGATTATAGAATACGGTTAATGTATGGATGTACCGACAACTTGGCCCATGAACTAGGTAAAGGTTAACGGGTTATGGTCGTGCATAATCATATGTGATTTTACATGTGAGTTTAGTGTAAAATCATATATGCTTTATTTGAATTGACCTTATGTATATAAGGAGGATCAAACGAGTAGACGGTCAACTTTCGAGGAAGGCAAATCACATATGAGATGACACGTCAATGTTGTCCACTTGTCCTTGGGAGAGGGCAGGTCAGATGTATACTCGGGGCCCACAAGAAATAGAGCCCCAATTTTTTTAGAATACAATACTATAATGGTAGTCAAAATAATTAGTAAATAAAAGATAATTTTTTTTAGAATCTAATAGGACCAAAAAATAATTTCGTATTATTTAAGGGTTGTGGATTCATAAATAAACTAACCAAAATATGGATAAATCCAAGCAAATTTTTCTTAAACCCAAGCGATCTTTTGGTGACGAAACGTATAACTTGTACAAATCTTTCCATTTTCCAAGTCGAACCAATCCATTCGTTCGTAGAGGTATTTGGGTCGCGATACTGCGAGGATGAGCTAACTCCAAAAACCCGTCCTCAGTTCGAAGACATCCTAACAGACCTGTAGACTTGAGCAGTAATGAGGGATTTTTTGAGATCGATTCACATTTGACATATACATATATTAATTAATTAGATTGGAAAATAAAATATGTGAAAAGTAAAAAGTTATTTGATTGTTCATTTTATAATATTGCTTATTGTCTCTCTAGGGTTTTTTTTTATCTTAAACTACTTGCCTATAAATCTTGATATATTCTCCATCATTCATCTCCCACTAATTCTTTTGATTACGTCGTCCGCACGAAAACTATTTTTGTATTAAAAATATAGTAGATTTCTTATTATTAACTATGAAAACTCATAAATTTTTAAAAAAATTACCAACTATATGAGACAGTCCATCTTATATCTGTTATTAGGATTTGAAAATTATTCTTCTTTTTCATACATTATTGACTCCTTATTTCCTAAAATTTACTGGATGAATTTCAAGTACTCTCATATTTCCAAAACAAGAATAAAATCTTAAGTTGTAACTACTATGGCCTTTTGATTATAAGATTGATAGTTTGGAAAAGGTCTGTTTTTACCCTAAAAGTTTAAAATGGTGATGAAAAACTTTAACATAGATGAAAACCTGACTCATTTATATTGATTTACATAAAATGTTACCCATAATAGTCTATTTTATTAACCTGGATATCCAACCCGCTATGCGAGCCGATTAATCCCAGAGCGACCACCTGCTTTGTAGATAGCCCGAAGTCACCGCATTTGAACCTCCGTGGCCACAAGGGGATTTTTATTCCTCCTTGGATTTGAACCTGAGACCTCKTGGTACTTTTGATCTTTGGAGTCAAGTTCAAACCAATCAGACACAACCCTTATGGTTCAGAATAGTCAATATTATGACCTCAAACAATGTCAATCTATATATTAAAGGTATATCATAGGATGTTTTTTATGGTAGAACAGATTGATGATGCTACGTAACTAATATGGTAAATAATATTAATTTAAAAATTGTTATTGATTGAATTTACTTCTAGGAATATTCATAAAACCGGTTTGTATGAATTATTAATATTTTTTGAATTCAATGTTATTTCTAATGATAAAAACGATAGACTAATTTTATTTTCGTACTTATCAAGGGTCTTTTTCTATCTTTTGCCTAGGGCTTATGAAAAGTTAGGAACGAGACTGCAACACATCTAGAAGGACACACATGACTCGTGTATGCAATAGTTGGTCAAATCATCGTATTTTTATTTCATGTGATTTTACTCTAGAACCACGTGTAATTTGACTAGTTTTGCATTTCTTGTAAGTTTATTGTGTCTTCTTTCGAACTATATTAATTAGAGCAAGAAAAACATTGATGGACGGTTTGAACCCTTGATTGCGTTTGTTACATCGGACAGGATAGAACGGGACAAAACTCAATGTCCCACATTTGGCGCAGCATGGGACAAAACATAAACTCACTGTCCCATGTTTGGTGCGACATGAGACAAGGACAAGAACTGGGACAACGTGGGACAAAAAAAAAACTTATTATTGTTCCACCTATTTAGACAAGAATGAGACATAAATTAAAATATTACTAATTAACCATCATTTAATATATAATCTTAATATGATATTTGTTTTAGTAGTCGTCACCGCTAATTGCAACCGCTGCCGCCGCCACTAGCCACCTTCGCTATCTCTATCTCCTTCTTCACTACAACAACCTCCTCCACAACCACCGTCATTCACCGACCACCACCGTCCATCGCCACCTCTACAACCACCATCGACCACCGACCACCACTGTTCATCGCCATCTCCACCTTCTCTAATACAAAATCTCTTCCACCATCTCGACAACCGTCGTTGACCATCGACCACCACCATTTATCGCCACCATCATGGGCCACCTCACCTCCACCATAACCACCACCATTGGCTACCACTACCATTGTACACCACCACCATCGGCAACCACTACCATCTTCGCGTCTTCCACAATCACTGTTGGCCACTGACCACCACCGTCTATCTCTACCACCACTAGTACCGTCGGCCACCTCCACCATAACCAACATCACTTTCACAAATTGCTAAAAATCTTCCACAATGAATAAAATAAAATCTTTTTCTTTGTATGGATCGAGTTTTTCAAACTATTATCAATTATATCCAATTTTTCATACAAATTTGGTACTATTACATATGTATGTATTTATATATATGAAAATTGTGTAAACATATTTATAAATTAAATTATTTAATTATTTCTTTTATTTGGGTTAATTATAACTATTATATGATATAAAAAAATTGTCAAATAACTTTAGGTGGCAAATTGTCTAGTTTTGTCATGTCCAGTCCTAATTGTACCAAAA